GAGCAGTGTAGGGTTTCGGTTGTTGGTTGAGGTTTTGAGATTTGTTTGGGTTGTTGGGGTTTATATAGAGTTGTCTGGTTCAGAACATCAGGCTTAGACGCTTCGCGATTGGGGGCTTTAGGGCGGGTACACGGGCTAGAAGGCTATAAGTGTACCGTTTCAGCTTGAACTTAGAACCGACATGATGTTTTTTTTCCATAAAGCTTTCTTCCCTGGGAGTTTTATCATAATCGAAGTAAAAGAACTCCACAGAGCACACAAGTCATGTGCTATTGGTTTAGTGCACTGGATGGGCCGACGGCTGGCTTTCCGTGAAGTCATGAAACCTCCGTTGGTTTACTGTTTAAGGGTTACGGGTCTAGGGTTCAGACTCAGGGAGAAGTTTCAATGTGGTTGCAATGCCTAGATTGGGGCCGTGTCTTGGCTTCCAGGCTGCTAGTCCCTCCTAAACCCTAACCTCTAAACCCTAAACCCCTAAGCCCCAAACCCCCAAAACCCTAAACCCAAGCCCGAAAACCCTAAACCCCTAAGCCCTAGACTCTGAAACCCTAAACCGTAAACCCTGAACCCCAAACCCTAAACCCCTAAACCCGTAAACCCTGAACCCTTAACCCTCTTTTTTCTGCTTGTCGGACCACCGGTTTCACTAAGGTTCCACCCCAAAAGTTCCTAAACCCCGAAACCTGAACCCTATAAAACGGTTTAGGGGTTGGGGGTTCGGGCTTCAGGAGTTTAGGGGTTTAGGGCTGAGGGTTTAGGGTTTAGGGGTTTAAGGCTGAGGGTTTAGGGTTTAGGGGTTTAGGGCTGAGGGTTTAGGGGTTCAGGGTTTAGGTAGGGTTTAGGGTTTAGGGGTTTAGGGGTTTGGGGTTTAGGGTTTTGGGCTTAGGCTCAGGTAGGGTTTAGGGGTTTAGGGTTTAGGGCTTAGGGGTTAAAGGCTTAGGGGTTTACGGCTGAGGGCTTAGGGTTTAGGGGTTTAGGGCTTAGGGGCTACGGGTCTGCGGTTTAGGGTTTCGGGTTTAGGGTTTAGGGCTTTGGGGTTACGGGTTTGGGGTTTAGGATGGAGATCCCCAAACTCGGCCCTCAACCACAAAAGCCCTAGACAAGAACCCTGTCAAAACCAACGCAGATCTGGAACCCCCTCTGATGCAAACCTATATAGTTGAAGACAGTCGGGGAACCTTACATAGAACCGTGACTGATGGATCCTCATTTCAGCCCCCCTTAGATGTGGACAGCACAAATTGATCTTAAGCCCTAAACCTAAACCCTAAACCCTAAACCCTAAAGCCTAAACACTAAACTCCTAAACACCTAAACCCCTAAACCCCTAAACCCCCAAAGCCCTAAACCCTAAACCCCGATCCTCCAACCAGGATTCAGGACCTCGGGTGACGGTTCAAGGTCGAGGTCTCAGAGGTGTCCTTGAAGGTTAAG